TTTTTTTTTTTTTTTTTTTGCCACATGCACACAACGTGTGAAGCCTGCACTCACCTACAAAGTCGTAAATGAGGTCTTTGATGAGATGCCCGACGATGGCATACGCCACTGCCACCACCACCAGGGCTGCCATGAGAAGGTAGAGGACAGCCTTGGGCAGAGGAATGGCATCTCGAGGAGGGGGTTTGTACTCCTTGTAGAGCTGATCATTGTCCGAGTATGAGTACTGGAACAAGTGGTCCAGGCCAGCTGTGAAGTTGCTGGAGTTCATGGACTGGCTATTGGACAGGTAGTTGTCCTGCTCAGGGTCCTGGAGGACACTTACCACCGAGCTGGTGGTGGCTTCCACTTGCTGTACCAAGTTCAGAGTCTTGTTAACGCTGGGGAGGATCTGGGAGAGGAAAGTGCTCCAATCTTTGATGGCACTGATGTTGCAAATAATCATAATTGCAATGAGGAAAGAGATCTCCAAGCTCAAGAGACTTAAAAAGGAGAGAAAGAGGCGAGAATTGCTGTACTTACACCAAACCATGTACTGCAAACCGGGCAGAGAAGGTCTTGACGGGGTACATTTTTCATTTGAAAATTCTTACATGATCCGGTAAGGATGCATCTGTGGCACCTCGGTCTCACTCCTGGAAATGCCCATAGAAAACCCCTATGGGCATGAAGTTCCTTAGGAAAAAGTAGATGCCGGAATGATTTTGACTGATATCATTTTTGTTCCTCAGCCGCCTCTCCCCGATGCTACCCACTGATGAAAACCGGAGAGACAGGATCCTGTAGGTATTTTCAGTCATCTGGAAAAGAAAGATAAATTGCCCTTCTCCAGCCTTTTTTTTTTTTTCTTTTTTCTTCTTCACAGGCGATGGTCCTTGGAGAGACAGAAATTCCCCCCTTTGCTGTTCCCCAGGCTCGGTCAGGCAAGGTGTGCGGTGCCGCGCTGTGACTCTCCCGTTAACGCTGCCCGAAGCGTTCTCGGAACAGAAACATATATTCAAACCCCACAAAGTTCAGCTGCTCCCGGTGTGTGACGGGGCCGGCGGCGCGCAGCTCCCGACCCTTCCACAGCCCGGCTCTCAGCAACTTCTTTTGCCGGCATCTCCCGATCGATTCCTTTAAAAACAAAACCCAGAGTCAGAGACCGCGGCCGCGCCAGCAATGAGAGCCCAGCACACACGGTCCGCGGAGCGCAGCCCAGCCCAGAAGCGGCCGCTCTCGGGTTTTACCTTAAAGACTTTTCCAAGCCAACAGATCCCCTCGCCTGATGCTCCAGCCTGTTTTATTCAGCGCCCTACGGAGCTCTCCGCACGCAGCCCCCGATGCGGTGCCGCTGCTCGCCGTCTGCGGGGAGTGCGGGCACGCCTGCGTGTGTGTGTGTGTGTTTGTGTGTGTGCACACTCCTCCCCGTCCTCTTCCCCTCCTGTCCCTTCACCCCGCAGCCCTGCTCGCTCTCCCCAGCCGCCCCGGCTCCAGCACGGAGAGGGATTATCTGCCGAGAGCTTGGCTCCACAACTCCTAAGTGCGCCGCGAAGCAGGCGATGCGTGGCTCAGTCTCCGCCGCTGCTCCCCGGGGAGTTAATCCTTTCTATGGCAAAAAAAAAAAAAAAAAAAAGAGATGAGCTTTGATCCGTCTGCTGGATCTTCCCGGAGAGGTGGAGGGCAAGGTGGGGAGCAGCCGGAGCGTGCGTGTGGATGCGCGGGGGTACCCGCAGGTCCAGCCCGCCCGCGCGGAGCACAGCCTTTGTCTGGGAGCTGTGCCGCCGGCAGGGAGAAATCAAATCGCGGGCGCTGCCGGGAGGAGGGAGGACATCATCAATCCCACCGCCAGCATCCCACAAGAGTGATGCTCCCTCCCCACAGCCCTGCTTCCCTCCTCCTGCAGCCTCCACCCAGCAAAGTTTTGGCATCAGAGGGATGCCTGGTTTGCAGAAAGGCCAGAGGGCTTGACGCTGAGCTCCCTCACCCTCTCCCCTCCCTGGTTAGCTGTCTGTGCCAACCGGTAAGACCCAGCCCGTTCTTGGTCACCTTGATAATGGTCTTAAACTGGCTCATGTTCCCTACAAACACATCTCCTCATCTGCCTTGGCATGGGATTTCAGTGGGGTGCTGGCTTGGTTTGAAGACACTGGGACTTAATTGAAGAGGAGGAAGAGGAAATTTTAGAGAGGGGGAAATTGTCTTTCTATATTTGGAGGTGAAAAAAAATCACAGCTCCATTTTTCACTTCTGCCTTTTTTAAAAATTATTTTCGTGCTGCTTCCCCATGTAAGAAACAGCTGTCACGAGGGCAAGGAAATCACCACAGTAGGCCTGAATGCAGCCAAATGGAGCTTCTGAGAAATAATAGCAAAAGATTAACTTTTTGTGTGTGTCTGTCTGTGTGTGTTAGCAGCCAGCAGCAATCCCACCAGCTGCCTGGGGCTTGGAAGAGTATAGAATAAAATGGCAACATCTCTCCCACACAATAAAATCACCAGGACTTAGGTTTGTGATGGACAGATTGTACAGCCCAGGAGCAAAGAAAATGTGGAGAGAAAAGCTTTTCTGCTCTCCGTGGAGTGTGCGTGGGCCCTGTCTCAGTGACTTCTGGCATCTTAAAATTTCTTCTCGGAAGTAACCGAGCTGTGACTGGTTACAGAAAGACATCTGGACAGCTGCATGGATACATATCCTGTCATGGGACATGTCCTGATGTCTCCCTGCCCCAGCATCATGATGCCCAGTGTTGGAGCGGCTTCTCTGCCTCTGGATCATGAAACCAGGGGGATGCTTTGAGGGCCAGGGCAGGAGTCAGGAGCTAAAGGCAAGCGGCTCCTCTCACGGACTCCAAGTCCTCTCACACCAGATTTTATCCTTCCAAGAGGGAAAATGTGGCAAGATTATTTTTTTATAAGAACTTTTCAATGCGAAGTGAGTTCTGGGCTTGATGCAGGGATACCTCAGTGCAGGCTGGCTTTGTCCCGCTCCAGAGGCACATCCTTTGGCTGGGGTTCCCAGAAGTAGAGGACAACCCTTGGGATGTGCCCACTGGTCCTTGGGGACCGAAGCTGCTCTGAAGGTGTACTTTCACAGCAGCTGTTTGGTGTTAGCAGTTGCCATGGCACCAGTGCATCAACCAGAGGGAACAGCAGAGAATCTGGTCCAGGCTGAGCCATCCCCGTGCCTGGCTCTGGGATGCGACAATCCTAGGCAGGCTCCCACCAGGCTGTGCCTTTTTATTCTCAGGAGGGGATGGAGCTGAGTGATTTGGGGCAAAATATTTGTAAAGCTGTCTGTGCATGGGGAGATTTAATGAGAGAAACTGGGGGGCAAAATTGGCAGCTGTCTGCATGCCTGGGGACAGCTGGTGACAGCAGCCCACACCTCGCTCTCGTGGGATACAGGACAGACCCCCTTGGTTTCCTAGACCTCCACTGAGCACTTCTGGGAAGAGGCTGGAAAAGCACTTGGGGAAGCTCTGAGTTCTGCTGCAGGCACTGACTTCATTAAAGGGGCTTAGGGTAATACCACAAAAATACCCCTCCACCTCTTGTGTTTCCCTGGAGCGGAAGGAAAGTTGGCTCCTTTCATTTTTGTTAACACCCTTATCAATTCAAAGTGACTAAATAGATGCTTAACTGTTCATTATACACTCCCTGCATCTCAGGTCTGAGAGGGAGGCTTTATTTCCACAATTATGGTTTCCATCCCATTACAGAGGGAGAGAGCACGGAGAAATATAGAAGTGTGGATTTTAATAACCATATATTTCAAACTCTCTGTTATTAAAAAAAATGTTTGCATTTACTGTGATGGGAGGAAGATTAAAAGGATTGCCATGGATTCCACTTAGGGAACATTGCTAATGATTTCAATAAATCACTTTAAATAAAAATCACAATCTCCACAATTCCACCCAAATGCCATTTGGCAGAGGGGTTGATTATAGGAGCAAAATGAATTTCAGAATTAGCTGCTTGTCCTAATGCAATTGGACAAATTAAATTTAGGGATATACATATATCCAATGAAACACATATCTCATGCAGAAGAGCGGTATTTTGGCCCCGGGAAAAAGAACAAATAATGTTTCAGTGGGTCAAGAAAAATCTTGTCCCTCATGATGGATGTCGAGGATTTGTTTCAGCTATTTCCTAAGTATTTTTATTTTATGGCTTATTCCCTACGTAACTACAGTCAAAGCACTGGTGTTTTATTTCCACCAAGGCAGGATCTAACTGACTGCTGGGACTTGTCTTTGACAATGCTGGTGTCCATGCAGAGCTGAAAAACTGCCCTGACACGTTGCCAACAATGCCCAGAGTGGACAGCCTTGATTCCTGTCTGTGTCTGGGACCACATCCCAGGGTCTCTACAGAAGGTAAAGCCCAGGTGCTACACCAGGCCTGGAGATCTGCTCCCAGCTCCACTGCTGGCTGCTTGTCCTGCTTGGCAGCACATAAGGGACATGGAGGCAACAGGCTATGGATGTGGCAACAACTCTCAGGTGCAAATGGAGCTGCAGGGGTGGAGAGCAGCGTAGGAGTTTATCCCCATGCAGCGGGCTGTGCCTTAGGAAGGCTTTGTGCCTCACCCTGGCCGAGAGCTATGCAGAAGTTGGCAGAAAATGTAGTCAGGAGGTGCAGCTCCCGCAGCAGTATCTCCATCTGTACTTTTGAGCAAGACATTTGTTTGCCCCAGGGAAATTTTTACAGCCTCAAGGTGTTTTTTGTGTCTGTCTTCTGTGCTGGCTGCTGGCACCAAACCCCGATCCCTACCAGAGAGACCACCACGCACTGTCAGCAGAATAAACGCAAAGATCTACACCCTCATATGGCACACAAGGCAAAACAGTCTTCACAGGACTTCTTCAAACCATGCAAATTTTACCTGTGCAGGGTGGCATCCACGTTCCCATCCAGATGCAAGCTCATGGGGGCTGCACAGCTCCTGTCCCAGTTTCTGCTGCCTTCCCACGGATGGGGCGTGCTGACCTTCATTCATCCCCGTGTGGGCCAGATGCTCTTCCCTGCCTCCCTGCCTGGCTGTGCTCAGCTTCTGCACTACACCCTGGAGCAGCCACTTCCTTCCTAAGCAAATTCCATACCTGTACCAAAGTTTTGACAGCAACCTTCCTGCATGACAAGAAGTTGTGAAATATGGGCTTATCCTGTATTCCCATTCCCAGCACTCATCTTGCCCAGCGATTCCTACTTGAACAAAACAAACAAACAAACAGGGAACAGCAGGAATTTTTAGCAGATGAATCAGAGCGAGCTATCTTTATCTATCTATATATAAAAACACCTTTTTAAAAATGGTTTTTTTTTGATGCTGTATTATTCATGCTCCCGAAGCTGAAGAAGTCCAGATTATAATAATAGACATAATAAATATGGCATATTAAGTGCAGTGCATGGGAAGACTGTTCCCTATCTGCTGTCTCTGGTAAGCAAAGTGGGGTTTTAACTCTGCGTGTGGCACCATCTCAGGGACAGCTTGGCTTATTCAAAGGACTTTAAAGGCTGAAGGCAGGCACAAAATTATCCAGCATGAAAAGCTTGCTTCCTGAAAGAAAGGGGAACATTTCCCAAATAAACAAACCCAGGGCAACAGGCATAATTGCAGTGGAGCTGAGGTGGGAAGCATGAATTACATGTTTTGTTTGCATCTCTAGAAAATGCTATGGTAAAAAAAAAAAAAAAATTGTAGGGGTTATCTGTGGTTAAATCTGGCACATATGGGCAGAGCAGAACAGGAAGGCTTCATCCCAACAGGTGGGCAAGTCCTGTTCTTCCATGTCTGGTTCTACTCACAGCTTTGCTATCCTGAAACCCAGTGAGAAAGTGAGCCAAGCTGTGTGCATCCAACACCTCCCAAAGCCTCTCAAAGGGATCTGGAGGGAGAAGCTGGCAGTCTGCACATTTTCTGTATTCTCTGCCATCTAAGCTGGATATGAAGATCTAAAATAAAAAAAGTCACCAGCTGTTTCTTTCAAGCAAAATGGAGAAGAAACTGCATCTCTGCAAACCTGTTGGAGTCTTCAGAGAGTTTGAAAGGGCAGGACTGAGGTGTCGATCCACCTGCTAACATCTGGGCTCCAGGAGGAAACTTTAAATGGCAACAATGGTAGAGGAAAGGAAGAAATGAAGGATCTGAGAAAGGCAAATAGGAAAACTTACCTCCTTCCCTGAAACACCTCCCTCATCACAGCTAGAAGTACAGGAATAGAAACCTCCCCAGACACCAGTTCTCATTCCCTACAGACACTCATAGGAGTGTGTGGCTGTGCTGCCCATCCCTTGCAAAGTCCTTGCTCCAGTACCTTCTCCCACACAAGGACCCACTTCTAACAAGGGACTTCTAAAGTTATGCTGGTATTTCAGGTGTGGAGGAAGAGCTGAGTAGGGTTGAGTGTGAGAAGTGTTGCTGGGTTGCCAGGCAGGTTACAAATACACTCTGTGACTCCTGATTAATCTGCCACCTCGTACGAGAGGTGATGCAGAGCTCTCTTCTGCATTGCAGATTGTGCTCCCGCCGTGCCCTTTCCCCAGCACCTCTCATAATCCTTACCTGCGACTTCCCAGGCACTCATTCAGCACCTCACAGTGCCTGATCCGTACCTTGCTGCCTGCTGGGGTTGTAAATGTGTTTGCAGACTGATCCCACCCTCACAGGTGGGAAAGCAGCCCCTGGGGCCACGTCCTGGCTGTCTCTGCCGCACCAGGTGCGCTCACATTAGAG